TCTAGAAAGGGAAAACGGATAAAGGTGTCGACTTGGTACCTTCTATGAGTGTTAGCTGAGGTAGATTTCGGGTTCCACTCCTCCCTTGCTTCTAATCCTTTGCTTCTCCAAGTTCTTCCTTCCACAAGTTCTCCTTTCAAGCTTTCAAGGCACTAATGGCACAAATACTCGGTTAGGGTTTTCCTTTGAGTTCTATCTGACTGTAAGGAGGCCAAATGGGGCTTAAGCCTCCTTAAATAGAGTGTAGAACCTGGGACTTAGGGTTTCTTTTGCCAGCTCCTACTCGCCGAGTCCCACTCGTGGACTCGCCGAGTCAGTCACTTAAGTTGAAAATTCAATCTCGCTACTACTCAACGAGTAGGGCAACTAACTCGTCGAGTAGGGCCAAACCAAGAAACTACAATCGGACAATACCTGAGAATCGGGGCGTTACAACTGTGTGTATTCATATGGGGTCCCGATTCTGGTTGGTGAGTACACCATGCGTACGAGCTGAGTACGCTGGGCGTACTCAGCCTGAAGTTTGACTTTTGTTAACCGTTGACTTTTGACCAAGTTTGACCATGGGTCAAACTTGAGGATTTTGGGCTATTAAATAAGATTTTATCTGGATATGGAGTTAGTGGATTCGCAGGTGCAAGCAGTGTAGAAAAGGGATCGTATTGTAGTGTTTCAGAGTTCTTCAATTCAGGCGAGTCTTCTTACTGTGCTTGTGGGTCGAATGCACCAATACCAGCCTACTAAATTGTGTAGGTAGGATGCTTGTTATCCTTGTGACTCTTGTATGTTTGCTTGTGTGGTAGTATATACGTGCTGACCAGCTGAGTTTTATTGTTGTTATTGTGATATGTGATATTGTGTGTGCTGAGACTTCGAGTAGTCTTCAAGGTTGTTGATAACCCACAGGGCGTGCTGTTTGTCCAATGAGACTTCGGGTAGTCTCTAAGATTGCTGATAACCCATAGCTGTTTATTTATGTTATATCTTGTGTGGTATTTTGGAGAACTCACTAGTGTTTGTGCTTACGATTTGTGGTTTAAATGTTTTCATGTTTTCTTATAATAAAGGAGGGGTAGGACTGTATTGCATCGCATCCATGGAAGACTTGTGTACGTGATAACTTTTGACGATACTCTGATAAATGTTTTAAGATCTAATGATCCTATTTAAGATTTTGTAGATGTGATTTGAATAAACACTTAAATTTTTAATTGAAAATTTTAATTGAAATTTGGGAGGTTACATTTAGACAAAACTGTAAAATTGGTCCTTGTGGTTTGCAAAAAACTTTGGATTGGGTCCAAAAAGTTTTTGACTTGCATGGAAGGTCCAAAATCAAGAATTTTCTTTGGTTTTGGTCCTTTAAAATTTGAAAAGACAATTTTACATTTATTAATTATTTTTTACATTTTCTTTATTTGTTTTAATTGTTTTATAATTAAAAAAAAGCAAAAAAGAAAAAGAAAAATAATAGGATGGGTCCACCCCACTTACTCTCTCTCTCTCTCTCTCTCTCTCTCTCCATCTTCTTCCAGACGATCATCTCAACCAAACTCACCAAACCCACCACCACCCAATTCACAAACCAAACCCCAATCTCCTTACAAGTCAAAATCAGGCTTCCCACCAGAATCATCTTCGGAGATCATGAAACTATCACAACATCCAACCCCTGTGATCTCATTCAACTCCCCAAGAATAGACTTGGTGGTGGATCCTTAGGCACACTTTACTAAGTTATCATCATACTCTGGCTCCATTATCACAATCAGAAAGATCTGTAAAAACATCACCCATGGCAGCAAATTCAAGCACTGGGTTAATTTTTTCGGCGACCTTCGTGGCAACCGGTGGTTGTTGCTGCTCTGATTTGGTTTTTGGTACGGCGGCGAAGTGTTTGTTATTCATGACTAATTATGTTTAGGCAGCTTGGAGGATTTCCTACATGGTAAGCAATCCCATAATTGAAAACTAGGGTTTCTAATTTTTACCTTTAACCGATTTCAATTTCGCAAGAAGCGAAGGCGTTCAATTTATGCCGCTAAATTGGGAAATCGGATAGGAAATAGCGCTCGGAGCAACGAAAGCAGTAGCATTGATTCACACTCATGGTCTTCTCAGTGGAGTGATAAAATCATCTAACTTTCTGATTCAAAGCGACTTCTTACCTTGTCTTTCCAGCTTTGAAACGTCTATGGTCGGAAAGAATGTGTTACAGTTTGGGAATTTCGATATTGGAGATTATCACCGGAATGAAACCTTCGATGACTAATTTGGGGTAGTATGTAATGGAGAAAAGAAAGAGAGAAGGGTTAAAAGGTTTTCCCATTAGATGAGAAAGGAACAAGGGTGGGGAAGACGGTGGGTAGAGAGAGAGAGAGAGAGAGAGAGAGAGAGAGGGAGAGAGAGAGAGAGAGGGAGAGAGAGAGATAATGGGGTTGGGTGAGATTTTAGTTTTTATTTTTTATTTTTAATTATTTAAATACCAAAGAAAATAAAGAAAATAGAAAAAAGAAATGAAAAGGGTAAAATCGTCTTTTTAAGTGCACCAGGGACTAAAAACCTAGAAAAACCTTGATTTTGGACCTTCCATGCAAGTCAAAAACTTTTTGGACCCCATCCAAAGTTTTTAACAAACCACAAGGACCAATTTTACAGTTTTGTCATTTACGCAATTATACATGAGTTATTCTATAAATTTAGTGTTAGATAGGGATTGTATATGTAATTTTCATTTCAAACATACAAACAATTTTTGTAAATTTACAAACTTTTCTATAATTCTACAAAATTTAAGAAAAAAACTATTATTTGATGCGACTTTTAAAAAAATTTGGCAAAATTTAACATATATCGTATAATGTTTATGATTTCTAGATCATTTAATGATAAAATAAATTATTATTTTAATGACATAACTTATAATATTTTTTTTAGTATATTAATATAAATTTTTACCCGACCCCATCCAACATATTGTGATCGGCATTAAAAAGTTGTGTTTTAAGGTGCCACCTCTACACAATACTCTCATCACATGATTGCCATATGAATGAAGGATCGGACATGCATTCAACGTAGTGGGAGTAAGTTTCACCGATTTCTTGTGTTGTTAGTGAAAACGTAAAATCATAACCATTTCTTCGATTGAATTGTTTTCTTTCATTCAAATCCCCCTTTTCTATTAAATGTGTAACTGATTCATAACTCCATCTTCAACTGGTATGATTCGGTCACAAAATTTTTAGTCGTCCCTCATTGTTTTGTTTCCGTGGTGTTCCAGATCGAGACCACAAGGTATCAGACTCGTTTATGAAGTCTGTCAATTTCTACTGTGAACAACAATTAGCATTGGTATTGGTATTGGTATTGGTATTGGTATGTATCTTTTAACTCGTCAGAATTTCAATTTCAATTATTTCCCCTTTAAATCGTATCGCCTTTTTAGTAATCCTATGGATGATCTGTAAACGCCAAGGGTTGGCCCGGTGGCAAAGCCACTGAAATCAAGTCCTTTCTTTGGCATGTCGAAATGCCATGATTTATATGTATATTTATACAGCTGGGAATTTCACGAACTATCATTTTGCAGAGGATAAGAAAATGGGGGTTATCTCGAGACGTGTTCTGCCCCTGTGTAGCATCTGCTGTGTATGCTGCCCTGCATTGAGGGCTAGGTCCAGACATCCAGTAAAACGTTATAAAACGCTTCTCGCAGAAATATTCCCACGCTCTCAGGTCACAACTTCAACTTACTTCACTTATTTCTACTCAATCTGGGATGTACGATTAAGTATAATCATACTATCTATTTTGGCTTAACTACATATATATTATTTAAAGCTAGAATCTACCTTCCTATTTCTAGGACAATTAACATTCTCGACTCATGATTCTTTTATCTGGTTATGGTTCTGTTTGAGACTTTGATTATTTTTTTAATCAATAACATCAAATGGCAGGATGGTGAGCCAAATGAGCGGAAGATTGGGAAGCTTTGTGAATATGCTTCTAAAAATCCTTTACGTATACCTAAGGTAATACTTGTATCTTTCAACCTTTGATGTATGCTTGCAGAAATGTAATCAAATTAGTACACATCCCACTTCTTGAATTCACAGAGCATCTTGTTGATCCTAAATGACTATTATATAGAGATGTAGAATACAGGCACCCGAGTTGTTACCCATGTAGATTGTGCTGATAGTGCTTTGAACTGATCATAGGATACTTACTGCTCTTATGTTTGAGGGAACCTTGTCATATGGCAATTCGGGAAACAAATAAGCATGCCCTAAAACCCTTGTAGATTTATTTTTAAAAAATTGTTATTGAAGTTGAGTGACAAGCAATCATTGTATGTATCTATGATTTCTTCTTCTCTTACAGATCAATGATTACCTAGAGCAAAAGTTTTACAAGAATTTGAGGAATGAAAACATTGCTGCTGTAAAAATTGTACTTCTTGTTTATGGAAGATTGCTATCCACCTGTAAGACACAGATGTAAGTATGGATATGTTCATCCAGTCATCCTTTGCTCACTTTATGTGTTCCATTATTCTTATTTAATTTTCAATGTTTTAAACTAAAGCTCTCTTCTCCCCACTGTTTTAACTCATACACATTTTATTGCTCCCATATGGAATTTAAAGATTTTAATTATATCAATCCATGGTTGTGGTCTATTTCTTGGATTGCTTAGTTAATTTAGTTTCTGTTATTCTATGGTTACAGAAGCTGTGCATTTTTTTTTCTTGGTGCAGTAATAGCTCTATGTCAAAGGCCTTAGGCCTTAGGATTGGCCTCTGATATAGGTTTTATCTGTTCTTCTTTTACTTTAGTGTCTTTTATATTCATGAAACTTTTTTGGTATAGTTGCAAATTAGCTTTGTTGATGCTCAACCTCTTTCATGGACATAGCTATTTTTGTACATAATATACATACATACCACTTTGTATTGGATTTGAGGTCAGTTGTAATTCACCAGAAACTTTCAGGCCACTCTTTGCCAGTAGTTTCTTGGGAATTGTTGGGACCCTTTTAGAGGAAACACGACAAGATGAAATGCAAATTCTTGGTTGTCATGCTCTTGTCAACTTCATAAACAATCAGGTATATATTTCTCTCACTCATTTTCAAGTATATATGATGTTGTTGCAAAAATTCATGGAAAAGAGTAACACACACAACACTTCACATGCATCCGGGAAAGGAGCAGTTTTATACCATATTTTACTTTTCACCCCTACCTCATTTCCTGACTATTGACAAAGATGGTGAATGAATTGAGGTCTTACAAATTTCAGGTGGACACTGCGTACATGTTCAATCTGGAAGGCCTTGTTCCAAAGCTTTGTCAATTGGCTGAAGAAGATGGAGATGATGAGAGAACATTGAAGTTAAGGTCAGCAGGACTTGAAGTGTTGGCCTTTATGGTAAGCTCACTTTCATTGCTCTATGTTCTTCTTCATTATGTTTGCAATTGTATAGCATGAATTTGATGATTACATATTGTTAGTGAAGAATTGAATATCATAACTTGATTTTCCAACTCTATTGTTGGTAATTTTGTTATAAATAAAAAATGTTTGTCTCGTAGATATTTGGTCTAAAAATTTGTAAGCTAATAAACTAATGACAAATTTATAAACAAAATGTGTCACTCATTATTCGCCTAGTTTCCTAAGAGCATCTCTAATGATAGCTTTTTTGAGAGGTCATATATCAATAATCAACCTCAAAGAAAGCTTTTTACCATTGGAGTGAATTGCTTTTTGGGTCAATAATACAACATGGTTAGATTCTTTTAAATGCTTTTTTTTTTTTTTTTTTTTAAGTTTTATTATTGCTTTTATTTAATTGTTTCATTTTACTCCCTTATATTATTTAACCTTTAAAGTTTTATTATGTTTTAACTAATATTTTTATATCATTTCAATCTCCGATATTATATGTTAAATTCGTAATGATGATATGATATGTTTTATTTTTATTTTTTAACTATAAATAATAAATGTAATAATTTTATCATCATTTTTTCTTTAGAAGAAAAGAGCCGACATTGTAATATATTGTTTAATTGCATGTATTGTATGTAATTATATATTGTGTTTATTTACTATTATTGTGAAGTACTTTTTAATTTTATAAATATCACATACGTTAATATTAACAAATCATACGAGGGGGCTTTATAAAATATTTCACAAAGATGATGGTAAATTAGTTAACTTCATAATTAAAAAGCTTTTGAAAGCGATGAATGATCGGAGATGAATTAAGTTAATAGCATTTTGTTTGATAAAGTTAGCGGGGAAAGGTGACGTGGCAAAACAAAAAAAGCTATACATGAGGTCAAGATGCTCTTATCTAATATACCTGTTCATCTTTTTCTTGGAGTAGGTGCGATTCATCGGCGAGCAACCTCATGTCTCTATGAACTTTGAGAATGTATGTTGCATCTTCTCATCTCAACTCACAGTTAGTATAAAAGCATGCATGGTGTAATTAATATTTCCATAATCAATTACAAAAAACTCAAGAGACGTATATATATTAATTATGTAACTGGTGTTGGTTATAAATTAAATTGATATAGATTATATCGGTGACTCTGGAAAATTATAGTGACCAACAACAGGAACACAATCCTCCCTTTCCTAAACCACAAGATGTCCCTCCAGTGTAAGTGCCCTTAGTTTGAGTTTTTGACCATATATACCAAACCAAGTGTACTAAAATAAGGTCTTTTGATTTTTTTTGTTCAGGGATGCATACAAGAACCCGTGTTACTGGGCCCAGGTTTGTTTGCATAATATGGCCCAATCAGCGAAGGAGGTAACAAGTGTACGACATGTACTGGAACCTCTTTTTCATAAATTTGACACGGATAAGCTTTGGCTCCCAGAGAAAGGGGTTGCCTTTTCTGTTCTCAAGTATCTGCAAAAGATGTTGGAGGAATCAGGTTAATTAATTAGCATGGAGTTAATTATAAGTAGTTGGTAGCTATAATATTAATTAATATGTATATAAGTAGTGTTTTTGAACTCAGATGACAGATCCCATCTATTATTGGCTATCTTGGTAAAACACGTTGATCACAAGGATGTTGTGAAGCAGCCGGTTTTACAGTTACATATTGTAAATGTTGCTACACAACTGTCGAAGCATGCAAAACAGCAAGATGCGTTGGTGAGCATTGTTGGAGCAATAGCTGATCTCATCAAACACTTACGCAAATGCCTACAGAGATTATCTGGAGACGCCTCTGATACCTGCTATGTTGATCTTCAGTGCGCTTTAGAAAACTGCATCTCAACTCTCTCATGTAAGGTTTGTAATGTGCCTTGTTCCTAACTTCAAAATATATATATGGTCTAGCTTTAAAGATATCTACCAACAGTAAAAACTACAACTAACTCATGTGTAATTAATTAATTGTATGTGTAGGTTGGAGATGTGGGACCCATTCTGGATACCATGGCTGTACTGCTAGAGAAACTCCCCATCAGTTCTGCTATGGCTAGACCAAGTATTTCTGCTCTTTATCGAACTGCACAAGTTATAAGCTCCATTCCAAACATAACCTACTCCAGAAAGGCAAGTGAAAATTCTTTCTTTCTTCCACCACTAACTTACTAACTATAACCATAGGCATATGAATGATATTTTGGAGTTTGCAGACGTTCCCTGATGCTCTCTTTCACCACTTGCTCTTAGCAATGTCACACCCGGATCATGAAACACGACTACTTGCACACCGTGTTTTCTCAATTGTGCTAATCCCATCTTTAAGTCAACCTTGGTCAATCCATGACCTAATACCTTCTCAAGCTGCCATTCCATCACTAATCTCACAAAAAATAGCAGCAGATGGAAGTTTGTCCATTCACAAAGCGACACTAGAAACCATAGATGAAGAGACAAAGGAGAAAGAAAATCCTTCTACCCGAGATGGGAATTCAGTATGTTGCATATTTTACCTAAGTGTTATTTTCTATATTGGTAAAACACAAAAATTGCACCAAATACCAAACAACTTTAATTCTACTTAAATTGAAGGCTAACTTTCTGCAGGCCCTTACTTCCATGCGATTGAGTGGGCATCAAGTGAGTCTTGTTCTTACATCCATTTGGATTCAGGCAACATCCATGGAGAATACCCCTGCAAATTTTGAGGCAATGGCACATACATATACTCTTGCTTTATCGTTTATATTGGCAAAGGTATGCCATATCAATAATTCTTATACAAACAATACCGGAATTTGTCATCTACCAATAAAATAAAGCTTTACATACTATAAACAACTTGTAGAACAAGAAGCAAAATATTCCAAACTACATGTGTATGTTGTCTATTCGCTGAAATTGTTTACATGGTTTTCTTCAGAATTCAAATCATGTGGCCTTACTACGGTTTTTCCAGTTGGCATTTTCCCTCAGAAGCATCTCTCTGAGCCAACAAGGTAGTATTCTTCTAGATTTGAGTTTTGATGCAGTTGGGATATATATATATATATATATATATATATATATATATATATATATATATATATATATATATATCCAATATTTACCCTTTTCTAGGTTTTCTTTTTCCTAGTTTAATATGTTAAGAGATAGAGCAGAGGCTTTATTTACATCTGTCGTGTCTGTAGGCTTGGATGCTGAGTGTTAGCTTATTATCTATATCAATCAGTACAAGTGCATTAGAATAAAGATAATTTCTGTAGTTTTTCCCTGGTCCTGGTTCCAGATTAATATTTGTAAAATCATTTTGAATAGTGTTCTTTTTGTTATGGATAAATGCACGAAATAGATAGCATCATATTATCATTTTGAAAGTAATACTAATATGTAATAAGAAGAAATGAAAGTAAGCTGCTATATGCAATAAAGATATTAGTGTGAAAGTAGGTTGCTATTTTTTGGTTGTAAGTATCTAATGTGGGTTGATTGTATGTCTAAAAGGTGTCCAACAACCATCTCAGAGAAGACCTTTATTTATGCTGGCTTCATACATGATTATTGTGTCTGCAAAGGCATGCCATCTTTCGGAGCTGATTTCTATGGTTAGATCAACATTGACAGAAGAAACAGTCAGTTTTCACTTCATACTACTTAGATGTAACCTCAACTTTCACTTGTTTATGATAACATAACATAACATCATACTTTACTTTCTTTCATTTTTGTTTGAAAAATCTGCCCAGTTATAGCAATGTGAATGTCGTCCAAATACAAACCAATTTACTGCTACAACTGGATAGATTTTCTAAGTAGAATGTCCTAAAAAAAATTGAAAGTACAATGCTATAATTAGGTATATTTTACAAAGTATAATGGCTCAGTGAGAAATGATGTAATTAAATGAAATGGAAGTAGGATACTATAATTAGAAAAGGGCTAATTACACAAAAGACCCCCTACATACTGCCTATGTTTTTCATGTTGCTACTGTTTATGGTGTTCTTGATAGTTTCAACATTAAAATCTGAAGGATGTTTGTTTTTTTTTCAAAACAAAGAGAAACGATGTCGTGTCCAATTCTTGTTGACAAAATACATAAAAAAAAAAATCTATTTACAGTTGCTAGGAGATTTTGCATGTGAAGAACAGCGATCTAACTTAGCTTGGTATCTTAGATTACTTGGAGTTCAAAAGTTGTCTTTATCCATAAGCCATAGACCATATGTCATAAGCCATATATCATAAGCTATAAGCTATTCACCATAAGCCATAAGCCTTAAGCCATAATCCATTAGCCATAAACTTTAAGCCCTAAACCATAAACCCTAAGTCCTAAGCCCTAAGCCATAAGCCGTTTTGTTTTGAAAAAAAATCAAATGTCACCATTAGATTTTAATGCTAAAAACTATCAAGAACACCATAAACAGCAGCAACATGAAAAACAGAGGAATTATGAGCCAAAACAAGAAAGCTGGTCCAAACAAAAAAGTTAGCCAAATGTGAGGTTTTTTTCGAAAAAAGAAAAAGTTGAAGTTTTTCTAGAAAAACATGGTGTAAAACCGGAAGATATGGCATTAACCCTTAAATAAATGAAATTATGTTGCTATTTCGTGATTTGAGCCCATTCTTAATCTATAGATATGGGTTCAAATCTTGTTGATGGAATTCTTTTTAACTCAACTCAATATTCCATATGGTTTTGATAATTTGAGGGCCCACTTCTGTTTTTGCGATGGGACTAAAATATGTTGGAGAGCCCTGGCTCCTTTAACATGGGTCTACACCATTTAGATATTTTCTTTGCATGTTGATTGATTAAATATGAGGGACATTCTTACCCACCAAATGCTCGATTTAAATGCAGGAAATAGCAACTTATTTTCATTATAGCACTATACTTTCAACCTTTTCTTAATATGGCATTGTACTTTCAATTTTTCCTTATTAAGACATTACATGAAACATCTACCTAATCATCGCATCAAAAAGAAAAAAAAAATTGTATTCGGAGGTCATTTCTATAGCTTTGGGTAGATTTTTTTGAAGTAGAATGTTGTAATAGGAAGAAATGAAAGTATGATGCTATAATAAACAAATCAATGAAAGTGTATTGCATTGCATTTAGTCTCTTAAAATTATTATCTGTCAGTGTGAGTGAACTTGCTGTATTTACTAAATTTATACCATATGTCAGGTGGATCCATATCTTGTCTTGGATGAAGATATTAGGCTGCAGGCTATTTGTACAGAACCTGGTGACAAGAACTGCTATGGGTCACAAGCAGATGAAGGCTTTGCAGTTAATGCACTCTCTTCAGTTGATTTAAAGGATCAACAATTAAAAGATACACTCTCGATGCACTTGGTATCAAGGGTTGGGAGATCATCGGAGGTAATCACAACCACCCTCGTTGTTGTTGTTGTTGTTGTTTTTGCTTTTCAGTTGGCATTGTATTTCTACTGATTTGTTTATGATAGCATTCTACTTCCATTTCTTCCTATTGTAGCATTGTACTTATCCAACTATACCAATTATGGTAAACCTCCACTGAGGTTTACATACGCCAGGAGATACTTCCTCTGTTACGGCCTGTTTGTAATAAGCAGTCTTAGTGGGGGCATTTATGTCTTTTATCAGTAAGTCGGTGTAAAGGAAGAGGGGGTGTATAAGAAGTCTGTTTTGAGTTGTTGGGTAGCTAGCTTGTTTTGTTCATTGAACTTGATTCTTGGGAGATCCTGTCATCTCGAAGTGGAGATATTTTATTTCAATTCTTCTTTTCTTACTTCTCAAAAGCTAGACCATAGAAAATTTTCCAGTGCTATAATAGTTATTAAATGACTCTCAAGTTTCAGAAATTACAAAAGGGCCCTGGAATGGAAGTTTTACATTTTGGTTTTAGCCATTAAAGTTGGTATATAAAATTTTTGGAAAATAATATACTAGTCCATTTTTGGTTAGAAATTTCACTTTATCCCTGACTGCATAAAGTGTGATTTTTGGTTAAAAACGAAATTCAGTTGTGAATCTTCTCAACTTAAGTGTCTTGTGTTTATTTGCATATTATTACTGGCACAGCAAATAAATCCTAAAAACTGAAAGGGTTTGAATATTGTAAATTACGTTCAAAATTGGAAATTAATAAGGGAAAGAGTTATATGATGCGACTGTTGAAAGAACACGTAGGCAACTTGACAAAAAATAATTTGTAGGTGTTATTGTCCTTATAAATTTATGTAAGAGTTTTGGTTAGCTAGATAACTTTGAGCTTGTTTTAAGGGCCAATAATTACCAGGTGTTATTTTCGTGATTGTTTGCTTGCATGCTGTTCTTTCATCATGATAGGTTATTTATGTTCATGCGGTTAAATTAATGCATGCAATTGTATCATGCATGACACTTTCTAAATACATGCGCATAAATTTTTATAAATACGTGAACTTGAATAATTGGGACCATTTGACTGATAATATGGCCTAGAAATGGCATAAGTAAATATTTCTGAATGTTGTTTCAGGAACAAGAAGTATCAAATATGAAGGCACAACTTTCACAGTGTTTCTTGCCTGATGAGGAATATCCTTTAGGAGCTCCTCCGTGCCCACAAATGGAGCTTCAGCCTATTCATCAGGTTATATTTTTTCTTATTCAATTATACCATGCATGCATCTTCTTTCACTTGCATCTGTATATTGATTTGGTGTATGTTCTCTGATATTTGACTAACACATGCTACGTTTTCATGATGCAACAAAAGGAGTAGGTTTTTACTTCCCTATATTTACAAAAATGTTTTTGTTGTCCTAGGATATGCCTCATGCTGCTGCCTCAACAGAAGAAGATGAATTTTCAGATGAATCAGATCACAAACCTTCACTTGACATTTTAAGTGTTGACCAGCTATTGGAATCAGTATGTCTTTTTACTCTATCACCTTTCTTTTGTGTAACTATATATGCTCATTGTGATCTCCATGTACATCTAAAATAAATACATGTCCATGTATGTCATCATTGTAACCTGTGAAAAATTAGTCGATTGGAACAAAATTATAAATTTTAGTGACCTGCAGTGCAATTCACATTTATGAGCATAGAGTTAGATTCAAGAAATAGCAACATACTATTTAAAAAATAAAAGTTGTGATTAAACCATAAACTGGCCCAAAATATTGGGAATTTATTGGTGATTTCCCTGCGCAAGTATAGCAATATACCGTGCTTATATTTATTTATTTTGTTATATTTATAGCATCCCCCTTTCATTTCTTTATGTTACAACATTTCAATTTTTTTCTTCTTATTGAAAAATGCACACAGTTATAGCATTGTCCTTTCAGTTTTTTTCTTATTAGGATTTTGTACTTGTAAACATTAGCAGTGAAAATTGCTTTGTATTAGATGACAGTGCTACAATTGGGTAGATTTTCCAAAGTGCAATGTTGTAAAAGGAAGCTTCTAGCATAGAATGTTATTTGTTATAAACAAATAGAGGATAGTACGTTGCCATTTCTTGAATCTAACTCTATGCACCAACTATCTTATAACCAAGCCAATGTATCTAGGTTTGCACAAAACCTTTTGAGCTTCAACTTCAAGCACTCCTTATTTCATCATCACCCCGTGCCTGAAATAAGGATATTACAATACATACACAAATAAATGAAAGTACATTGTTATTTCTTTCATTTAGCCCTTGTACTAAAGTAAAAAAATCATAGTAGGACAGCGTAACCTACCTACTTATAGCAGTGAAAATTTGTTTGTATTTGGATGACATCACTATAACTGAGTAAGATTTTTCAAAGTACAATGTCATACGAGAAAGAAATGAAAGTAGGTTGCTATAATAAAGAAATCAATAAAAAGTATGTTGCTTGTTTTTTGCATGATAACACAAAAATGAATGACAACTTAACTTGTGTCACTATCAGGTAGTGGAAACGGCCTCTGATGTAGAAAACATGGGGGATGAGTCGTCACGTGCACCTTGTCCTTATGATCAAATTAAAAATCAATGTGAGGATCTTGTCACCGGTAAACAGCACAAAATGTCTCTCCTTCAAAGCTTTAAGGAGCAACATGAAGCTTTGGCATCCGGTAACCATGACCATAATATATCAAAAAATGTAAGAATATTAAATATCTTTCTTCATATGAGATGTTTTCTGCCACAAAGATACCAAGGTAGTGTTTGGCATCATGGAAATCGGGACGGAATGGACCAGATCATTCCATTTAAATAAAAAGAAGTTATTTGTTTTGTCTGAGGAAATGGAACAAATCAAACAACTTCTTTTTACTCCACCCATCTCATTCGATTCCATCAAACCAAACAATAAGCATAGGTGGTTAGGACAAATCTTGCAATTTTTGTTCCACCCAAAAAGGGGGGACATAGTCAAGCTCTGTGCAAAAGATGTGAACGCCCTTATCATTGAAAATAGCCCTAGAAAGTTTGCCCCATGTAACGAACATAATCGATTAGAACACTAGAGTTTCAGTTTCAATTTATGTATGTGATCCTTGAAATATGCTGATTTTAATACTTATTGGTGAATTAAATGTTTGTTGGTGTTTGGAACAGCAATTGGAGGTGGAAGAAGTGGAAGATGAATCATTAACAAGCATAGATAGGGCTGTGCATGTACCTCCTTTAAGCCCAAATAGACAACCTTCTTTTCGGTTACCACCGCTAAGCCCTTATGACAAGTTTTTGAAGGCAACAACATATTAATTATTACTATTATTATTAGGGAACTTCAGACCACATATTTCTGTCTTGTAGATATGCACGCATAGCATAGCATAGCATAGCAGCTTACACTTCACATAATATTCTTTTAGCAGATAATTGAGTAGATTTTTTAGAATAAACATTAATTAATAAGAACAAGAAAAAAATTAACGTGCAATTTTGTAATAGAAAGAACATTCTATAATAAAGGTATGATGTTTCTCGCACTTGGGTCATTAACTATCTTTGCCACCTGTGTTGTGTGTCCATTTAGATGCCTAGTTTCAGATTGTTTTTATTAACATGGTATTTAATTATATAAAATAAAATCATTAATTAACAAAATTGCAATCCATTTAAATGCCAACTTTTGAAACTTCAAAGCCAAGAAAAGCCCATATTTTAAAACTTCATTATTCGTTTAGTAAAAGATAAACCCATTTGAAGTTGCACCCATTTTTAAGCAATAATTGACGGGGAAAATGACTCTTGAGGGTAATTAACTTTTGCGTTTGTACTCATTTGGTTCCTTTTCTTTTTTTTGTATTCAATATACCATTGAACTTGTTGTTGGTGTTTACCATAGCCCTTTTGACCGGCTTTTGACCTGTGATAGCCGGTCAAAGGGTTATGGTGAACACAAACAACAAGTTCGATGGTATATTGAATACAAAAAAAAAAAAAGGAAAGGGACCAAATGAGAACAAACGCAACAGTTGGTTACCCTCCTGATTCATTTTCCCTTTACTCATTTACAACAAATCCCACATCATCTCCTACTGATATTAATGACTTTATGATATTCATTCTTGCTTCTCTTCAAAACATAACCTACGAAAGGACATTATTCATACATGTACAACTTTGTAATGCACTTAAATATTTATTAGGGGAATCTTGACTAAGCAGGCGCATTTCATGACTACATTTACATTTTCAATCAAATGATTTATCGTATCATGGATTCTAGACAAGTCTACAAACAAGTGGAACCACAAGTGCTATGATTTTTGAGTTTACTTAGCTTTAAGATCGAACTCATGGGATAAGATGTTGGATAAGGTGTCTAAGTTCATAACTTATTTGGTATATACTTGATCCGACTCGGCATGGTCCATTTGGGTTGCACTTCACTCGAACTATTTATGGATAATTTTATGAGAGTTATACACATATGATTATTAATATATTATAAGTTATAATATATTAACATGAAGTCATGTTATTTAATTAGTCTTAGTCTTAAATTAATTATGAATTAATTTAGAGATTAAAAAGAAGACTAATTAGATTGTGGGCTATTAGTTTTATATGGTGTGGGCTAACACTCATTTGTTAATGGGCTAGGCTTGTATGGAAGTCCATGGATGATCCATGGAGCTTTTAACCCATGGATCCTTGGAAAAGGAAAGGTCATGGGTTATTAGGGTTTCACCCTAACCATGCACACTATATAAGCATGCTTATGTAGCATGAAATAGCCACTAGTGTGTGTGTTTGTGTGTGGATGAAATTATAGTGTGTATACACTCTCTCAAAGTTTTCCAAGTGTTTGTGGTGATTTGTGATTCCATTTGAGGCATTCACACTATTGGTGCTTGGCCCTCAAACTCCTTAAGAATCAAACTCATCAAAAAGGTACGTAATCTCATCTAATTCTTTTATGTTTAAAAGTACCCCATGCCATGTTAGATAGGTTATGAACCTTGGAAAATTATTATTTTTCATGTATTTAGACAAACATAGATCCAAGGTTTATTAGGATTGCATGCACACTTAGGAAGTGTTAGATTGCTCAAAACCCAACATAAGATACAACATCAATATGTACAATATTATGGTGATGTGTCTACAAAAGTAGCATGATATTGTACATATTGATGTTGTATCTTATCCCATGAGTTCGATCTTAAAGCTAAGTAAACTCAAAAATCACAACACTTGTGATTCCATTCGTTTGTAGACTTATCTAAAATCCATGATACGATAAATCATTTGATTGCAAATGTAAATGTAGTCATGAAATGCGCCTACTTAGTCAAGATTCCCCTAATAAATATTCAAGTGCATTACAAAGTTGTACATGTATGAATAATGTCCTTTCGTGAGTTATGTTTTGAAGAGAAGCAAGAATGAATATCATAAAGTCATTAATATCAGTAGGAGATGATGTGGGATTTGTTGTAAATGAGTAAAGGGAAAATGAATCAGGAGGGTAACCAACTCTTGCGTTTGTTCTCATTTGGTCCCTTTCCTTTTTTTTTTTGTATTCAATATACCATCGAACTTGTTGTTTGTGTTCACCATAACCCTTTGACCGGCTATCACAGGTCAAAAGCCGGTCAAAAGGGCTATGGTAAACACCAACAACAAGTTCGATGGTATATTGAATACAAAAAAAAAAAAGTGACCAAATGAGTACAAACGCAAAAGTTAATTACCCTCAAGAGTCATTTTCCCATAATAGACGTGATAAGTTGTGAAAATTACTATGCACTAATATCGACAACGCTATTTAATTTTTACCCATAACTGTATTTCGCTATAATAGCAACAGACTTTTACATATCTTTAATATATATTAGGTGTGAGACCTAATTATTACACGGATTAATTTAAAAAAAGATTAAACATTAAAGTGTAAACAAAAAATATTTTTTAATATATAACTTTAAAATAAGAAAGGAAAAAGCATATTGCAATTTAATATCATATATATGATATTTAATATTTTACATATATAAGTATATGATTTTAATTTTAAAAATTGAAACAAACCAAAAATTAATAAGTGGATAATATTTATTTCAAAAATACCACAAAATGATAAGTGTTAAAACTCATGAGAAATTAACATGTGGCAAAAAAAACCTTCATTTATTAAGGAGGATTAAAACAGAAACTTATGACATCATCTTAAATAATTTAGTCCATTGATTGGATTTCAATCCTATGTTTTTCACCTTTAGATCAAATTATTGACATCATTTTCCGTAAATGGAATGTATTTTATTGTCAAACACAATTAACTTACATCCGTTGAAATTAAATGTATTTAACTCTAATAAAGTTTCCAATATATGGTCAACTTTAAAAACGTACTACTAAAAACCAAATCAATTAAAGCATTAAATATCACCCACTAATATAAATCAATTTATATCGGTAAACCATTAATATAAAATCCATTTTTATTAGGAAACCATTAATACCAAAAAATCAGATTCAAATTATCAAATACACATATGATTCATCATTGAATCCGTAACTCACACATATTTTCAGTTATTGATTTTCTTCAAACCTTCTCCTACAATATCATTATTATTGCTTACAACTTCCATCTTCATTATCTGCTTCAACCCTTCATTGTTGTGCACTAGAAGATCGGTACCTTATTTTGCTTTTTATATTTTTTTTAATTGTTTTTTTGTTCCTGTATAAAATATATGTATTCATATATTTTGATTTTCTTTGTCACAAATTACATGAAATTGGTTAACTATTTTTTTGAATCTTTTCAAATAAAAAGGAAAAGATATTACGTACATTTAATCTAGAAAAAAATAATGTACTTTGATGGAAACCAATTAAAACACATTATAGAAAAGTATTATGATGGAATGACAAACTGTTTTCCTGTTCATGGTAATCAATTTTTTTGTGTATTTGTTTAGCATGATACTTCCATTTTTTATCCGAAGGGTAAATCATTATTTTAGTATGTATAATGTTAATCAGAAGGGTAAATTAAGACCATGGAGTTAGCCCATGACACTTGGATGTCGGACTATGAGGGCAGCCCCTGGCATTTCAAGAAAAGACCATGGGGTAGCTTATGACATTTCAGGGAAAAGACCATAGGGTAGCTTATGACATTTCAGGGAAAAGACCATGGGGTAGCCCATGGCAAATGTATGTATGATATGTAGTATTTTGGGAAACTCACTAAGCTTTTGGCTTATGATTTTCAATTTATGTTTCAGGTACTTCGGTTTTTAATTGGAAGAGCTCCGGATGATTGCAGAGCACACACCACCTCGTTCCCCATTTTCTTGACTTACTCTGATATGAAGTGATGATTGATACATTTATATTATCTAGATTTTTATGTTGATGTCTCTGGAATACTGGTTTTATAAATTTAAAAATGAAAATTTTTGGGTTATACTTTTTTGGACATTATAAGTTGGTATCAGAGCCTTGGTTTGAGGGATCCGGGCACACTCTCGATTGTAACTGAACTCAAACTGAGGAATTGGTATTTTTTTCTTAAAAAAAGAAAACGTTTAAAAAGATATTTGTAAAAGGAGAATTTTCTAAAAGGATTTTTGTAAAGATAAAGGGGGTGTAATGTGTGCAATCGGCCGAGCTCAAATAAGCGATTTCCAAGAATACCTGTACATATTTGTTATAATTATATACTATGGGAATTGCATGCTAGGATGAGGCTAGGATAATTTCAGGAATTGCATGATAGATTGGCCTGATATATGATACATTGTAGCCTAGGGAATATTGAATGCTATGCGAGATTAGGAATATGTATTGATATCAGTAATTGCTAAGTGTATGCTCTAAAAACTGTATACGGTTAGGATCATATAGCTCTGGAATGATTGATTTGGCCTTATTTCATGTTCCTCGTTTGGTTGTGGTCCTAGGGTAGAGTCTTTCATTTAACAATCTATTTGATCTTGTTATGTGTATAATTTGCATGCATAAGGCAACTGGAAGTGAGAGTGGAGGTTCCTAGCCTTATTTGTGCTGTGTGAGTTTGAATATTCTTTGATTATTCTGTGGATTAGAGTGCTATTGCTTGAATGATGTTTGCTTTGTGATTTGAAGGACTCTTAGGTGATGCGGGTTAACTGTTAAGTGAACATGTTAAGTCACGTGTAATAAAGGTTGAATAATCTCAGTGTAGCGCTTGGATCCTGGTATGTATTTTAAATTAAATCATTCATTTTTGCAAAGGGACTCGACGATTTGGAGGCTCCAAACCCGTTGAGCATAAACAAATTTTTGGACGCGGGACTTGAAGTCTACTCGACGAGTTGAGAAGCCTCAACTCAACGAGTAGGGCTGCCAGAGTATAACCCTAATTTTCAAGGTTTGCACCTTATTTAAGAACCTTAACACTTCATTGTGGCTTCCCTCATCGCCCCCTCA